AGGGGAAGGAAGGCTGGCCGGGGAGGCGGCGGGTCCTCTTGGGAGGGCAGGCTGTTGCCAGTGTTTATGTCGGATCCTGTGATCTGCTGGAGCGGAGAGCCCGTGGTTTACGTTTCTTCAGTGAGCTGGCAAACGCCCCTCTTCCCCTGGGCCATGGCGCAGGCGCTGCCCGCCTTTCTGCTAGGCCGCCGAGCGCGGGAGCTGTCTGATGCCGGAGCTGTCCTGAATTTGCCTCTCAAGTCATTTTGCACAGGTTGCAAAACGCGTGTGGAAGGCAACTGGAGTACACCGTTATCCATGACCTTCTCCATTTCTTACCCTAGCCACGCCAAAACATTGAATTATATGGTGAATATAATAACTCATTATCTAAATCTCATGAAATTCTGGAAACAAAGTTTGAATGCTGAAAGCTACAACTACAGAAAAAAAAGGGAATGGAAGGAAGCAAGTGGGCAGACTCAAACAAATGTCTGCCCCCTCACAGCAGTTGCTATCTCTCATGCCAGATTCTTTCCCGTTCCCTTTCTCAGGAAGATATTTTGTCATATTTCAGCCCAAGACATACCACATCTCCATCCACTCTTCTTTCTCCCCATGCTTTCCCCCTAGCCACTGAATGCTTTACCAGGTAACAGCACTACTTTTCCACTTCTCTCTTGACATATCACCAACACTAGAAAACTAAAGTCAGGGTCTAAAGTAGACATTTACTAAGTCACTTCAGGTTATCTTTTTACTTAATAAAAAACAAACTTGAAGGATCAGACCAGCTGACAAACTAAAATGGGTGCTCAGGGTGAAACAAGTCACCTTCAGAGGTGGTCGTTTCTCTCCATTGATTATGAAGGAAATTCAGGGAGACACTTAAGTCTGGTCAGGACATTAGGACAGGTAACTTCTCTTTCCCAGTATCCAGCAACTCCATCCACACCCAACTATCTTATTTTCAGGCTCAAATTCGTTAATGCAAACCACAATCACAAAATGCAGGTACACCAAATGCCTAGTTTCTGCAAGGCAAGTATTTTATTTGAGAAGGAGAAATCTTAAGTTCACATGTACTTTCCAATGTAATACATGTATTTTTGTTAACATTAATAAATACTGGTACGCATGCACTTTGCTGTTTTCTCAGACCTGGATCTTCTAGCTATCAGCTATGATTTCAACTGTATTCTAACTCTATTATTTCACTTTTCCACTGTTATAATTGTATTAAGTGTTATAACCACACCGTTACAACTTCCCCTAATTGTAGCCCAAATTCAAAGGAAGTAAAAATTTTTAACTATTTGTATTATATTTCCAGAGAATGAAATGTATTTTTTTACATAGTATAAATTACGACATCGACCTTTAAAGTTTATGAAATCTTTATAGCACAGCCATTTAAAGCTGAAAAAAAGTCTAAACATATTTCAGCATTTTTTAATACAACATTTTAGGTATCAGTCATGACAACCATCTGAAGCCTAAATAAGTCCAGTCATTCTTATTCAAATTTTCTGATTCACATAAGCATTTGTCGGACTGCACTTACATCTACTTTCTTTACCACTTTCTTCCATTAAAAGAACATGGATTTGTTAATGTAGTCTAGCTCACATTGTATGCCAATATCTTTGTTGCACAGTTTTCTCCCCAAATTCTCATTGCCTATATTTTCTGTAAAAATAAAGCAGTTAGGAATATTAAAAAACATGATAAAGCCATCTAATTTGACACTGTTCCTTCAATAATCCAGCAGTGGCAGAACAGACTAGCTTTGCCTACTATACATTATTTTATAAAAATTGAAAATACATCAAGCACCAACCAACACAGCAGCAATAGATGCTTTCTTGTCATCAAAACACTAAGCTTCCCTCCCACTTTTTGCTATCTTTTTACAAAGTTATTTAAATATGTTATTATCGTAATATAACACACTAAAATATCATACTAAAACTATGATAAGTTATTATGAAACTTGTGTTGTAACAACCCACTTTCTGACCATACGGTTAATTACCAAGGAACTACAGAGACATCCCTTTTAAGAAATACCACTGTAATTTAATTTCTCATAGGAAGAGAAAAACAAAAGCATGTAAGTAAATTACATTGAATTAAAATAAATATTAGAAAAGTTATTAATTATATATGCTTGCCAAGTGCAGTCCAAGGGCCTTGTCTACTCTTTAAATCAAAAAGAGAATGTTTTCATTTTCAGATTCATAGAATCTGATTTAAATTTTGGATCAGGACACTTAACATGGGAAACGAAAGACAACAGAAATATAAATGGGAAAAGGGACGGAAATAGAGAGAGAAAACTAAAACAGAACAAAAAGGGGGACAGGTAAGGAACTAGTTGTTACTTCCAGCACCACAATCCCACAACAATAGCTCTTGATAATGAACTGCCGATAGAGCAGCAGCAGAAGCAGCAAGATGCAAACAACTGTGGAAACGCAGCAGCTAAGATGCGAGACACTCTACAGAGAGTAAGGTTAGGCTGACTGTCATGCTACTTTTCCTAACTAGTGGAGTCTTCACAAACAGTGCAGTCTTTTCCTTCAGTAGGGTACGAACCTGTGCTAGTAAACTAGTGTATAAGTTAAAAATTATACAATCACTCTTAATATTTAGCGAGGCTCAAAAGTGTACTAAGCCTTTTACATGTCAGGTGTTTTATCATCAATATTAACTCCTAGTTTGTGTTACTTGTGATAAGCAGGGGCTGTTCATTACTAAGGGACTATGTCAGAATTTCTCAAACCTATCCGGTTACTTTAGAAGTTTTCTCATTACATTTAGGGTAGATCCCCTGTACCCTGTCCCAAAATGGTTCCAGTGGTTTATGTAATTAAAGAGCTGATATAATTTGTTTCGTTTCTCAAATCCTGGAGCTTTGGGTATTTTACTGTGATAGGCGGAGAAAAAACAGCTGCTAAACCCACCAAACATTCCAGCAATAGCCAGTTCAAATTCAGAATGGCCATAGAAGGAAGCAGGGTCAAAGATAATTGGCCCAGAGTCGTCCTCAGCCACATTTCCTGCCCACAGGTCCCCATGCAGGAGAGCAGGAACAATTTCTACGTCACAGAACATTTCAGGAATCTTTAGCTGAAAGAGCATGAAAAAACATGCAACAATTAAAGAGTTTTGAACAAAATATTAAATAAAACAAAGTACTGTAGTATAAAAGAGAATAAGCTGGTTAAATACTGTCTGTTTTCAGTCCTCATGGAGCGCTTTTGAAGTTGGTGGCTACAAGCATAAACCTGCACTGTAAGCCAGTAATAAGTGTTCTTGACAGAGCTTAGCAAATCATTTAATTCCGTCTAGTATCAATATCTACTATTAATGTATCGTTTCTAGACATGGATAGTATTGGCTGTCACAAGAAATATAAAATAAATTTCATGTAAATTAAAAGGTTTCAGTGGCAAAAAGGGCAGCAGTAAACATCTATACCAATTAACCAGAATTAAGGTACAAATTTGTAATATAGAGCTTGCAGAGGAATACATTCCTGGCTGTTTCCTAAGTGCTGCATAGAGTGTGACCTGAACAGTCTCAGCTGTGAGCCTGGATCATTTAAAAAAAAAAAACAAAAAAAAAAAAAAAAATCTGCCTGGGCAGCAGAATCATAACTATTTTGCAACACCAAATTCTTAGATAGGATTTACCATCTTATTATCATTAGCTATATTCTAAGAAATCAATGTCAGTGCTGAATTGCAGGTTTATTTTCACTATCTATTAAAAAACTGAAAAAGCAACATGAATTCTTTTCAGCTGACAATGTTGTTGGATCAGCTGTGAAGCTAGTCAAGTTATCATTAAAAGCTATGTAAATCTCTTGTAAAACACCTTTAAAATTCCACTGATTCTAACATTCTAAAAAACAGATTTAAGACACAGTTCATACTTTTAGCTGTGACCAAAGTTCTCTGGCTTCTCTGTCTCCATAATCTTTTTCAATCAAATCCAATTGAGCTTGGAGTCGGTGACGAATAAAGAAGGAAGGCCAATCACTCTGCCATTCATTCACCTAGAAAATATGATACAGAGGTTTGTAATAAACAGTTTTAAGATATACATAGTCAATATTAATAATACATAGATATCAAGTTAAAATGTTCGATGCTAACACAATGGCCTAGACAATGTTAGTATGACCTACGCACAATGTTATTAGACATTTCTCTGATTGTTCTTTTGGGAGTGATGCTCTCTTCCATGTTTAGGTGGGACTGTCTTTAACATGAGATATAAGTTGAGGTTCTGGCTATTTTCATTCACTCAAATTTTCTTAATGTATTTTAGAGGGAGAGTTTCTGGTGAGATCATTTCAGTTGTTCCATATTATATTCCAAAATCTTTCTGGAAAAGTATTTGTTCATTTTTATTGGATAATGTATTTCTAATTTGGTGAAAAGTTGTACTTAGCAAAGAGTTTGAGATATTGAAAGTTCATTCAGTTAAATAGTAGAATGAAATTCTACCATGTGCAGAGCCAGCAAATGACTGATTTATCCCCGAGAGCCCTTTCCAATGTCTTATGTGATGTGTTACATGATGAGGCTCTCTAAAAGCAGTGGATTTTGCCATTTGAGATCCATGTAGTAGGGGTTTAGAAAGACATGGTATGTGAAGGGATACTTACTTTATTAAGTATCACCAAGCTAAAGAACCACCACATAATTTCAAATTCTTATTTGATCCACTGTGTCTGGTTGCCACACACATTGAATAGCCATCATATGCCCTTCACTGTCAGGTCAGAATGAAACAGTGAAAGCAAAACTGTGATCATAACGCTGAAGGCCAATGAAACAAGCTTTTGTATAAGGAGTTCATAGAACTACATGAGTGTATGTTAGCTTTCACAGGCATGGAACGTACCTGTGGTATATAACCACAGCAAGTGGCTGTATGGAATCCAAACTTATCCACATACTGAAACTCAGAGTGACTTGCTCCTTTACCTAAGAAACAAAATAAATATTGGGAGTTTTGAGATCCTTACATAGTAAAGTTTGCAAACACAGAACTAAATTTCAGAGAATAGGCATACAAATTAATTTTAAGCAATAAGTTACACTTATTTCATGGTCACAACCCTCTCTAAAGATGGAAAGAACTCTTTTAGACTTGAAGATACTGAATGGAAATGGAGGCACAATTATTCACAGTTAGTGACTTTTCTTTGGATAAGTGAGTTAGACATTCAGGAACAGAGTCCAGATACCAGATTCGCAAGTGTTCCGACACTTGAATATGTTGTCATTAAACATGGCTTATTTTTGATTCATGGATTATTTGTGACCTGTCAGTAATTTGGCCTTCACTCAAAAATAATGGATTATAGTATGTCCACCACTAAGAGTCAAACCCTGTCCATCCCTGAAGTCATGGGAAAGACACAGATACAGACTGGTGGTTCAGATTTTAATAACAATTCTAAAAGAATAATTATTTGTATAGCTTCTTTTTTTTTTTTCATTGATGCCTTAATCCACTTCCCAAAGAATGATGGAAGGTGTTTTCATTGAAGTCATTAGAAACCAGGTCATGACCTTACACTGCTGAATTACAACTGTCTTCAAGGAGCAGCAATTGTTCTATATTTTGCTATGTATTTGAGTTCAAAAATGTAATCCCCAACATCTTCAAAGGGGAACTTAATTATGTGTTTACTAACTGGGACCATATTCTGTAATAAGTTAATTGTCTAAACCAACAGTAAACAAGAAAAGAGAATATCTGCAAGGTCAAGAACATTTTAAGAGATTGATGGTACATGAGGCTGAAAGGTTTAACTGACACTGAAAAAGACAACTAGTCCAGATTTTCAGTTTGACTTATGAAATGTTGAAAGCTCTGAAATATTATGAAATATTAGCACTATTTCTTACTAAATTTCAGTATCCGCATAATTTTATACAACAAAGTATATGCAAAATGAAGAATTAAAAATAAATTAATTTAGTTTTGTCAAGGTTAAAATGATACGTTTAAAAATTATAATACTAATTATAGCTCCTGTGTATATAATGTACATTTGAGAAGTGTGGCATAGGGACAGAAGGGACGTATCTCATGAAACAGTGTCCCAGTATTGACTTTAATTACCATTAAAATTATAATGCAATACTCTACCACAGCCAAATGAATTATTTCATTTTTGGTTTAGTATAGGATAACAATACTCTACCAATTTTGTTTCCCTCCTTTCGCAATTTCTCCCCAAGTTTCTGGTTATAAAGATGAAGATCTGCTATCTGCTCTCCAAGCTTTGAAGAATATCTGCAGGATCAAAAAAACCAAAACTGAAACAAGACAAGTGAACAAAATATTACAGAGAAAAAAAATCTCTATCAAATATGACCAAGTATATTTTTGGCAAATATAGAACCTTAATCAACTTCACAAGTACATAACAGGGAGCAAATGACTAGACAACAACTCTGAAGAAACGGGTTGTGACAGATAATAAAATTAACATAAGTCAATGCTCTTGCAAGAAAGGTAAACAGAACACAAGGTTGTATAAACAGGAGCATAGAGTGCAACAGGATCAAGTAATCCTCCTTATCAGCTCCACGTTAATAAGCAGAGAATAGAACATGGTATCTAGTGGAACAAAGCAGATAACTCCTGAAAGTCTATGTTCAGGAGCCAGCGACTCCTGAATTCCATGTTCAGGTTGGTTGACGGACAAAATGGAACTTCATGTTATATATCCATTTAGTTCTGCCTCATCCTAGTGCCTTTAAACTTGTTGACTGGCTACAATCATACTTGAAGGTTATACTTAGAGAAGCAGAGGTTTCAAAGACATAAGAAGCCTATAAGTTTAAAGAAAACTGATAGGCTGGGAAAAGAAACTCAAATGAAAAATCTCATGAGGGAAAGATGGGCTAAGCTTAGCCATTATCACATTCACTTTAGTAACATCTCAGCACACGTGGACCAGCATAGGCTAGTGATAGCATGCCATTTCTATTGCAGGTAGAGGGTCAGGGAAGAGCAAAATATGGGGAAGGAGTGTATACACACTCATATATATAGATACGTTGTTTTTTTTTTTAATATGTACACATACACACAAACACGGATCTTGACAGATATAAGCTTTATCTCTGAGAGAATAGAGAGGTTCTTCTCTGAAGTTTTCTGACTGACTGGAAGATATAAGAAAATATGCCCCAAAACATAGTAAAAAGAAAAAGAGATGTACAGACGTACTTGTTGAGGTGCTTCATCTTTAGGTACTCCATGACAAACATTGCTCCTCCTCCAGGTAAGTCAATTACTTTAATAGGCTGAGGCACTCTCACAATATTGGTTTTCTGAATAGCTTCCAAACTTGCCATTTCCCCTTCAAACATTTTTCTAGCCTGTCAAGGAATAAGAATATCCTTGGGCTAAACTATGGATGTCTACAACAAGTACTTTGGAAAAAATAGCCTTGTTTACAAAGTTACAAGGAGTTAATTCATCCTCATAAAAGAATGTAGCTGCAGCAAGGTTTCAGTCCACACAGGGAGATTTGAGTACCTTAATTCTAACTTCTTTTTTCCCCAAATTCATTCCAGGGTAGTAGGATACATTTCACCGTGATTTTCAGCTGCTTATGGAGATGCCAAACTACTCAGACATAACAGTATCTCTAAGGATAATACCCAAGACCTCCTCCTTCAAAACCACAGATGAACCACTACTGAATGAAGTAAAAGATTGAATCCTTAAACTGATTCGCCTTTCCATGCAGGTCAATGGCCACCAGATGGAGACAACAGTACAAATATTAAGCCTGTACTCTGCATTTTTGAAGTAAAGATGCTGCTCTTCACAACAGTTTTAGGATGTTTTCCATATTGATAAAGCAAATTTCTGTGTTGTTACAAAAAGCAATTGAGTATTCATTCAGTAACAGAAAAGTCAAGAGGTTGTCCTGAAAAACTGCAGGAATCTTACTGCTAGAAATACAAAAAGCAATGGGGAAGTTTGAAACCTCTATAGCTTTAAAAATAATACATGAGTTTTAGCACTGGCACCCTGTTTTCGCCCTTCCTCCCTCCCTCCCATTATTCTATCCTCCCAACTGAAACAAATGCAGTGAATGCAAATTCAGCTTTAGGCTTTTCCAAACTCTAAGTACTACAATAACAGCTCTGTGCGTAGCCTCCTTTGTACATACTGCAATGCCAATTCCTGTTGCTGAGGGTTATCATATTGCATTACACATCATTTTGCATTAACCAAAGCTGCTGCATTAATACTTGATATAAAATAAACTACAGCTTTTAAAAGAAAACTGAAAGGAAAACTGGAATAATTAAAAGTCAGCCTGAAAATGCAGAACTCCAAATTATTAACAATCAGGTGCTTTTAAAAGAAAAAGCTCTCTACATGAATAATAATTAATAGTTAAATATCTGCTAGCATTAACCTGAGGTTTGTGGTTGATTTTAACAAATACTCGTCCACTGTCTGTTTCATAACCTTGGCTTTGGCTAATGTATCCTCCTCCCGAGCTTCCAAATGCCTTCAGAACGGAAGTTTTCAATTCTGTTTTCAGGATTTTTTCCATGGTAATTTCCAGGCTGCTGCAGCTGCTTTCTGCTAAATCCACTGCAAAACAAGATTAAAGGTTTGGGTCCTTCTTTCACTGTCACTCTGCTATGAGGTAAAAGGGCCACCCACGAAATGAAAAAAAAAAAAAAAAAAGCAGCCAAAAGAAAAGCAAATCCAGGGATAATGTTTCAAAATGCTTTGTTTCCCGTGGGCTTTTATCGCTATAGATGAAAAATAAAAATCTCTAGAAATATTTGGTAGAATAAAATTGAGAGGTGTGTCCTGGGTCCTCTCTCAGCTGTGCTGAGAGCTGCTGGTATTTGTAGTTTGGACCCGTTTTTCTTTTTTAAGCTCTGTGATCGCATTGGTAGAAGAGGTCATTTTTAAACCAATCCACTAGAGGGAGTTTAAATGCAACGATATAAATTGCGCACATGTGTTGTATTGTGGTTATTTAAGATACGACAAAGTTGCAGTCTATAACGATGCAATTAAATCATGCTGCTGACCATAAGTCAGCCACCAGAAATATATGGAAAGGTTGGTGGGTTTTTTCTCTGCTTGTAGTTGCTTTGTGGACTGGAGTTCTGTTGTCATCACTGAGATCTTTAGAATGCTTTCCCTTCTTGGGACATAATTCGATCTCTTTTAAGAGACGGTCAGAAGATTTTCATTGCCTGAAAGTTAGTGAGATAGTAAGGTGCTCAGAACTGGACATTATCAAGTGAAAATTCATAGTAAAAGCATCAAGCTGGTAATAAAGTAATTTGGGATTCTGTTCCTGTATGCTTCTCCAGATTTAACATGATCTTTAGGACGTCATTTCACCTTTTTATCTCCTCTCACAATCTGTAATACACAGAAAGAAGACCCCTAGGGTACTACTAAATTTAATCACTTCATAATTGGAAAGTGCACTGACACCCTCAGGTATAAAGTGTTAAACCTTTAAAACATGTTAGCATAACCCAGACCCTACAATATTTGTTTTAATAATGTCTGTATAAAGATAACGTATTTGGTTAGGTGGCTATGACCGACTCCTAGCACAGTACAATCCGTGGAAAAGGCTGCAGTTCTTGTTCTCACTTGGAGCAGCAATGCCTACCCAGGGAATTTCTGGATTCTGTTGCCACTGTTGCACTTTGCTTTCAAGCATTTATCTCTCTTTTCACTACTATTTGTTTGCATTGATTCATATAAGCTATTTGGTTTTGACAGAGAAAGGAATGATTACTGGACAAATACTGGCTTCATTTAGGTAGGCTTTTCACTACATTCACAAATGGAGTCCTACATGGAGTGAAAAATATTGGTATAGTACAAGTTATTTCTCAAACAAGTAATTTCTCAGAACATAGCTCCTCATGGTACACGGAGCATCTGGAACATAGCAGACCTCAAAGGGACAAATCGGCTAAGGAGGAACTTTTCTAACATCCAGATTTATTTGAGCAGGACATTGCTTATAGAGTAAGAGCACAAGCTGGAAAAGTGCAGCTCATGACCTGGACTCAGAACCAGTGATTCAAATACAGAAGAGTACTCAAGAACAGCAAGAAGCTACATTCGAGATTAGACATATAATGCAGAGGTCCAACCAAGATACGTAAAGTAACCAGTGACTGCTTTGGCAATCCTTCTACTAATTCCAGCTGTAATATTTTATAACTGTCACATCACTGATATACTAACTGTAAAATAAAAACCAAAAGCCCCAAAAAACAGAACAAACAAGGAGAATGGATCTTCATATTACTACTGAACCTGAAGTTTTTGCAGTCTAGTATGCCATGGCCTTCTCTTCTACGATTTCCAGTGAAGATGCCAATAGTTACTGACTGTAACACTTCTTTCAGCATTCTGACATTTTATTTCATTTTTGGTTAAACCAGAAGCAGGACTGTGTTAATCCAAATATATTGCATCACTTACATAGTAGCCAAGAGATAGGAAAGCCTTCCATTTGCTTCCATGCTGGATCAATATTTAACTAACGCAGAGGTGAAAGGCCTGGTTTCCTACCGTTTTTGTTCACATTGTTTCCAGTCAACCAACTTCGAACAACATCATTTCAAACACTGTAAGTAAAACATCTCAAAAGCATCCTAGAGGGACTCGAAGTAACAGAGTGCTTGAAAACACCCACTGGTAGGTCAATGAAACCTACCACAAACAATTCAGCACCATGGCCAGATCACAAAGGAAAATACTAATTGTGTCCGTGACAAGGCGGTGAGGAATTACAAAGGGCTGTTTATGTGAGTGTTGTTCAGCTCCTGCTTTAAAACCTATCCTCAGGGTTATGCTTGCAGTGAAGTTTGTTTAGCTTCCCAGCTTTTTTCTTCTTGTTTTGCTCACAACTGCTTCTAACATGTTTGTTTTCAAAGACTGTCCAGAAGACAGATATCCCCATGCATACCAATGAGAAAAAGATTGTTTACTTCTCCTTTGGGAGTAACAGTATCTAAAGAACCATAGGAAACAAAGAAGCTATATAGAACAGTGTAAGCCAAGAGCAAGAAAAGACTTTCCATCATAAAAACCTCCTTCCTTTGACAGAAGTTACAGTTTCTCAGTGAAGAACTATCCAAGGACAAGTAATTTAGAGCTCCTTTAATCCTGTAGATCTGATCTTCAGTATAATTGCACAGACTGTAGCTCTGTATACAATATTAACCATGTCTTGGGAGATTTAAGTGAATTCTTGGAGACTTCAGTGAAAAATATGTTGAAAAGTAATTGAATATTATTTTACAAAGAAAAATAATAAAGCTATTGTGATTCTGGTGTGGCTTAGTTACCAGAAATATAATTTTCCCCTTAAATCTTAGTGCCTACAAGACAAGCTAATTATATGCCACTTCCCACCTGCTTTTACTTCTGCTAGAACAGTCCAGCATCAGTTAAAATTACCAGATCTGTTTTGGAACAACAGTGAAGACGAAAAGCAGGAAGAAAAAGAGTACTAGAGTGCAACATTCATACCTGCAGGCAGTTTTTGCAGATGGCAGCAGTCCATGAGAATGAAAACAAAAAAAATCACACTGAAATGTAGGGTACATTCAGATGAAATACAGGTTCTTGCAGAGAGGTTCAAAACGGATGTATTTTCACAAGAAGGACAGTCAAGCCATGAAACAGGTAGCCCAGACAGGCTGTGCAGCCTCCATCCTTGGAGGTTTTCAAGACCAGACCAGATGAAGACCTAAGTAACTTGGCCTGTCCTCATAGCTCATCCTACTTTAAGCAGGAGATTGAACTAAGACACCTCCTGAGGTCTCTCCCAACCTGAATTTTCCTATGATCCTAACCATTGAGTCCAGATTTCCAAGTTTCCCTTCCCCTAACTCTTCTCCTAGACAGAAGCTGATGTTATTAAAATTATGCACAATCCTATCTGAACAGTTTAGATTTAGTTTAGATTTAGTTTAGATTTAGTTTAGATTTAGTTTAGATTTAGTTTAGATTTAGTTTAGATTTAGTTTAGATTAAGAAAAAAGATATAAAGAGATCTGGTTTTCAAAGTATTAAAAATAAATGCCTTGAGATGCTTTAGTCTACATATGCCATACATGTATTGTGATCCATCTTGAGAAAAGACTTAGAAATATCATGAGAGGATATTACAACTTTTTACAATATACAAATACATGTACACAGTATATTTAAGAAAAATTCAGTGATTTTCCTTGTACAAATAGGAATGAGAGCATGGGTACAAGGAAACATGCTCAGTAGATTTAGAATGCACAGAGGGAGCCAAAAAGAAGGAATACATGAGAAGGAAAAGCAGAACACATTAGCTTTAAACTATGAGAGAAGGAGATAAAGAATAACAAAGGCACACCTGGAACACAGAATGCAACAAAATTATCAAAGACAATTCTAAGAGCAGTGCAGACTGTACAATACATAAGAAAAAAAAAAATTACCTTACAGAAACGCAGCAATTTTTTCTTAAGGATCCACTAGCAGCCTGCCTTCAGAAGAGAAGATTTCATCCCCTTCTCCATCCTCTGATTCAGTTGCTGTCTATAAGAACTCAGAACCAAGGGATCCATAGTACAGTAGAGCTTGCTATTACAATCCATTTGTATTCCTCTTTACACCCCTTCCATTTTTAACTGTAGCACAAAATGGCTTTGAAAAAGTGAGCATAATATCCCTTAAACTCTAAATACAATTTCTATTTACATAACCTGCATACAACACAATTTTCCTTCAATCACAAAAATATTTTGATTCTATTCTGTTGGGAAAAGATGATCTTTGAAGACTTACTGTTTATCACTCAAGTCTATGGCTGACAGAAAATCCACCTTCATTATCACTTTTCACCTTCTAATGATAAAAATTATTTAGGTGTTTTAGCAAAATAAACATGTTGATTTGTTGAAGATTTGTAAACAGAATGAATTTGTTAAATAACTTCTAACTAACTTCTAACTTTATTATGAAGGCATGTGGAAATGAACACCTAAAGGATCTAACCAGACTGACTGCTGGCTAAAATTCCACAGCATTTCTTCAATCACCTGCACTAAGCAGTGTTAAGTTTGGGTGAATGGGATAAGGATAGGGGCATGGACATAACATTTCATCAACAACGTCCAAACAGCTGGTACAATACATAAAGTTTGAAGGCACAGATAGGACCTCAAATGATACTGTAACCAAACAGCACGTAAATTTTCTTCAGTGACACACTGCTCCAAATTAAAATCCATGACCACGTTCCCATCAACACCTTTGTTGACTATAATTGTGTAACAAACTAGGGACCTTTAACAGGTTAGAGCAAGTAGCTCCCCGAGAATGAATGCAAGCTGTAAGGTTTTAATTCAGAAAACAGAGACAACAATAATCAACTGAGAAACTTTATTTAAGCAACAAGGTAAAAGTAAAAGCTACTCTACCAAGCAAGGCTTTAAAACTTCTGTAGCAAAAGTTAAACAGCCAGTGAGAAGAGTAGTAGAATTAAGGAAAGTTATAGCAAGTGATAGTCTTCTCTAAACTTGCTTCCAATTCTCATAACTGCAAAACCAGCAACTAAAAAACCCTCAGTAATCCGCCAATATCTAGTGAAAAACGTTTTTAATAATTAAAGTCATTCCCAAACACTCAAA